GCGCAGAGCCTGCCCGCCAGCTACACGCCGCCGCCGCCCTTCCTGAGCTCGCCTCCGCTTGGCGGGGTCCTGCAGCCCCTCGCGCCGCCGCCGCCCGCCTACCCGTGCGGGCCGGGCTTCGGGGACAAGTTCCCGCTGGACGAGGCGGACCCGCGTAACAGCAGCATCGCGGCGCTGCGCCTGAAGGCCAAGGAGCACATCCAGGCCATCGGGAAGCCGTGGCAGGCCCTCTAGGGGCACCGGCGACCAAATCAATCCAGACAGCCGTCCTGGGAACCGACCTCGAGCCGCACACGAGCATCCCTTCTCTGTAGGTCCCCCCTAGTCAGCCACTCCTTCCGGTGCCGCCTGAAGCCAGGCTTGGGTCCTGGACGCGCGTCTGCTCCTGACTCACCCGGGAGGACGGATCCTCAGGCCTGCTGAGACCCCCTGGCCACCCCCACACCCTCACGGACTCTCAGCCCTGCTGCTGGATGGGGAGTGGCGGCCCGGCCTCACCGGCGACGCAGCTACCACCCCGGCGGGTGCCGGAGGGTCCACGTTCAAGGGACCCAAAGCCCCTGGCCTTGGCCGCTCCTAGGCGGGGTGGCAACCCCAGATAAAGAAAACGGGGAGTGAGGGGAGGCAGAGAAATAGTTTAAAGAACTTTGTATAAGTAGTTTCAAAGTATTGGGAAGGAGAATTAAAGACTTACTTGTTTTGGTTTGACTCTGTTAAGCGCGCTCGGGACTGCGGTGGCGGGGAGGAAGATGTGTGTGTGTGTGAATGGGGGTGCGGGAGGGGCTGCGGTGTTGGACCAGGTGGATCTGGGAAAGCACAGAACTGCACAGACTTGGGGCTCCCTCCTGAGAATCCTCCTGGGGGCGCGCTGCTGCAGCTGACGCTGTGTCCCCGTCCTGGGCGCTGTGTTCCCATTCCCGACGCTGCGGAGCCTTCGATCAGAAGAAGGGCCCCTTCCCTGGCGCGTGCGGACCGTGCAAGTGTGTGGGGTTCGGGGTGTTTGCAGCCTAAGGCTCAGATGCCCGTGCGTTCCCAGTCCCTCAATACCCCAAAGAGCCGAGCTGCGGCTGCTACTTGGAAGGACTGAGCCCAGTAGGAAGCGTACACACCACCTTCCCCAGAGGAAAAGCTGAACGTACCGAAGCCCCTGGCCACCTCGCCTTCCTCTTCCCAGTCTGCCACAGCCCAAAAATGCCCTTCTCAGATCACTGTCCAGGGTACCAACTCAGTGCTCCACCCTGCTACCCAAAGTCGATGACATTATTCTTCCGAAAACTGGGGCAGAGCGACTTCTTCTGTTCTGAGCCCTGCGCCTCTCTCGCCTCCCCAACTCGCTGCTCAACCCCCAACCCAGCGATTCTGAGGAACCCACGATGGGTGAGCTGCGGTTCTTAACGAAAGTGCCGCGCAGCGCTCTGCGCCACGACCCGGAGTGCACATCCCAGCGGGGCGCCTCGTGAACAGTATTTGCAGTTCTCTGACGCAGGCTGAGGGGCCGGGAAGGAATCCAGAGGTCTCCTCGGGCGTCAGAACCTCCCGAGGTTCTCGTGGAGTCCCCAGTGAAGGAGATCCTGGAGCTCCCTGGAAGCTGGGCGGCCGTGGGAATAACCCGGATTCCCGCCGCGCTGGTCCTCTGGCCCCTCACTATGCGTGTTCCCGGGAAGACGTCGCCAGAGCCTTGGCATCGACTGGCTATGTCGTGGGTGGCTATCACCTTAGTGAACCACCCAGCCCCCTTTCCTCGTCTAAATACACCCCACTTCCCTAGGAGATGGGAAAGATGGAATCAGATCGCCTGTAACGTCTTTGTGTACACTGCCAATGACAGGCAGGCGTGAGGCCATACACATAGGATCCCCTTCTCTGATGCCGCAGTACCCCCAGCGCTGCGCCTGCGCTCCCGAAGCCTCCTTGGGAGAAGGATGACTGTCGCGGGGCTGGGGGTAGAGGGAGTGTGGTGATAAGATTCAGGCCTCGCCACGCGGACCCTGAGGGGCTATAACAATGAACCACTGCTGTGTACCCCACACCCACACCTGGAGCCTTGGACATAGTAGGCTGTTCAGGAAGCATTTATTTAATCCGTTATTTTCCCTGAAAGGTAGGGAGTAATACCTGAGCTTTCCCTCACAAGGGTGTTCCGTGGGAAAATGGATGGAGTGGCCCAAGTGATATCAGCTTAGGCAAACTCAGGCTGAATAAGTAAATTTCTTTCAGTTTGGCCTGTCTTCTCTTTCGTCCTTTAACACCCTCGTTTGACCAGGAATGATTTATTCAGAGAACTCCCAACTCACTGGCAGTGAGCGAGTACCACATTTGCTCAGCGCCGGTCCTTACCACAGTCCTGGGCGCGTCTCACCTGGCCCATCCCCCCATCAGCACCTTCGCTTCCCTTAGATCATTTCCACGATTACTCATTTTGTCTCCTCTCTCTGCCATTTTTTTTCTTCTATTTGTTTTTTCCCATCAGCAGCTTTCCGGCACGTCCCTCTCCTCTTATTATTTAGTTTAGTCTGAGAATGAGTATTCTAAACCAACTCCATAGGCACCAAAAGGGCGAGCCATACCTGGATTTCAGGGACAAGTCCCTGGGAAACAATGATCAAAATACTAATAGCTAATGACCATTGCAATCTTACTATATGTGCCAGCACGCTTCTCAGCGGTTTACATCTATTCATTCATGTAAGCCTCAGGACGACCACACCAGGAAGATACAATTGGCCCCATTTTGCAAATGAGGAAACTGAGGCACAGAGAGGTTGCCCCACTTGACACCCTTGTAAGCGGTGGAGCTGGAGTAAGCAGAAATTCCGGTCAGTTCACCATCATAGAACACGCTCAGGAAACAGTTGCTGAGTAAGAGCTTCTTATTCTTATTTTACTTCCCAAGAATAGCTCGTTAGGCCCACATGGGAAGTGAGACCCTGAGGGGTGGGTACTAGCGGTGAGTGCTTTCCTGAGCTGCCTGAAGAAGGCTGGACACGCATCAACCCCAGCGTCCCTTCCCATCCCCAGGGCTGTCTGGAAGGACCCCCAGCTCTAAGGGCTGGCGATTCCTGCTGCCTAAAGGGGTGAGGCGGCAGCTAGTTCTTAACTTAGAATGGAAGTGGGGATGGTTTGTGCTAAAGAGCGTTAGAACCCCAGAAGAACCTGAAACACCTGGGGCCGCTACTCCAGCTCACGGCTACAGAAAGCACTCGGCAGAGGCGCTGGCCAGGGTGGGGCACCGGCTTCCAAAACTAGGCTATGCTGGCTCTAATTTGGGGCGGGCACACGCCTTTCTGGGACTCCGGGAAAAGGCCTCCCCCAGTAAGCCCGCATCACTTGGGAAGTGGTTCTTTAGTCTTCCATAAAGTCTGTCAATGAAAAAAACATCCAGCCTAAGAGAAACCCGAGAAGAGTTTATTTGCGCCAAACTGACAATTGCGGGGAGGCAAAGTCTTAACGGATAGAGAAAATGCTCCGGAAAATGGCCGTTTTGCAACTTATTTTATACATTAGAATCAAAGAAAGAGGGTTACATGAAATCCATTGGTTGTGGATTAAGGGGGTGGGAGAAAGCAAAGCGGGGAAATCTCTGGGATTGGATAAAAAGTACAACGGAGGGACACACTTCTTTTACATTGGTGGGTACAGCATAGTTAATAGCATTTTGCAGCACACAGAGATAGTATTTGGGGAACAAGATAGCAATGAGGGATTCTGTCGTTTCCTGCTCTCCTGTGGTAGGTTGTGCCCCCTGAGGGGTTTGGAAAGGGAATACGCTCACATTCCAAGGGCGTGTTATCTTAGATGCAAAAAGACAACAGACAGGCTCACTTAAGGTGAAGATTGACCTTTGTCAAGGAAGCTATAGGCCAAGGATGTGACTTCCTGCCATGGCCTTTAGCTAGGAATTTTTATGGTCACCCCATCCTCCGTGGTTATTTTCAGTCTGCTGAACTTGTCAGGTTTAACACGTGTCCCCTTTTCCATCCTCAAGTCTGAGGGTCCACTGAAGCGGAACAAGAGCCAGCTGGAAGTGATCTTACTGGGTTCCGGAAGGAAAAATACTGCTGTTTCGAGCACAGCGACCTAGATGGAGGCAAGCCTTGATTCAAGCCAACTTGGATCCAGTACATCTAAGAGAGAGGCCTTGGAACCTCTTCCCCAGAAGACAACGTCTGCTCTGACCAGCCGAGGGAGGGAGGGAGGTAAGCCTGCACAGCCGCCGCTTTTCGGCTGCAGGGAACCGGTCTGGGAGCTGCCTAGGGCCGGGCGCTGTGACACGTCGGACTGGACAGCTCTGAGAAGGGGCGGAGTCGGGCGCGACCCGGAGCCTGGCACGCGGACTGTCCCCTGCGTTACCTAGGCCCTCCGCCGACCCAGTGATCCCCAGCCTGCGCCCCATTCCCATTCCCCCCGGCCTCCAACAGTTACCCCCCCCCGCCGTGGGGGCGCTTCAGGGTTCGCGTTTTCCCCTTCCCGGAGGAGTCTCTTTCTGCCCACGAGGGTGTCGTGTCCGCGATGTGCGCCACAGCTCCCGGCCTCCGGTAGCGATTTTTCTGTCCCGCAGGGACGCGGGGGACTGAGGGCTCCGCCTCTCCCGGTCGCCCGTCCCTGGAGCCCTGCGACCCGCGGGGCCCTCCTCACTCGGTGGCCTCGGGGCCCGCGCGGCGGCCCCAGGTCGGTCCAGGCTGTTTATCCCTCGTGGGTGTCCTGCTCTTGGAACCCGGTTCTGTCCCCCTGCGGGTCGGAGCTCCCACCTCCGGGGCTCCGGAGAGTGACCCGGGCTGGTGTGGGGGAGACGCAGGGGGAGCGGCAGGCTCCCGCCAGAGGCCAGCGGCTGAACGGGGCGGCCCCGCTGCATTTACTGATTCTAAACTTATAGTTAGTATTTGGGGAGATGGGACAGGTCAAACCAGGGAAAACAATCCCCCGTTCTCCACCCCGCCCCAGTTAACCTAGAATCCCGCGAGGGGAGGAAGGGGATCACAGTCCTTCCTTCTCCCGGTCAAATTCATCGGTTAACCGAGAGTCTTTGCAGAGCCCCCCCCACACACACACACACCCCCGAGAGCCCGCGTCCCTGCAGTGGGCGGTGTAGGTGGGGACATCGGGGTGCTGGCCCAGGCGCCCCTGAGACGTGAGCATTTGCTGTGCTGTCTTTGCCACGCTCCCCTCCCCCCCACACCCCAACACTCCTCCAGCCTCAGCCCCAGCCCTGGCCCCGGCCCCAGGAGGCCGCGGGGAAAAGACGTTTAGGGACGCTAATATGAAGGAGAAGTTGGCACTTGCTCTCCTCTCAGGACGCGCGAGCACCGCGCTGGCCCGGGGCCTCCGCCTGGGAAACGGGAGGCCGACGGCGCGCTTTGTGCCAATGTCGTGCCCTTAATTGGGAACTGGCTCTAATAATCTGGTCTCGGCTTGTTCACTGTACAATAGAGGCAGAGTTAATGACTCATTAGTGCTTAATTCCTTAACTGTGCCTTAATTGCTCACTGTAAAAGCCCTTTCGTAAGACTGGATTAAATCATTTAGATCCTTGGCCACGTCTCACAGTCCTGGAAGAGGGCCGGGTTACCCCCCAACCCCTAATCTTCAGCAGGTCAGCTTCTTATGCGCAGGGGCAGCGGCGCCCCTCAGCCTGGAAATCGGACAATCTGTAGTCCAGTGGTGGCCGTGACATTGCCTGGTCCTGTGACCTTAATCAGGGCCCCCTGTAAAGCCAGATTCCCAAGACCCCTCCTCCCTCATCACCCCATCATAGGTGCCTGAAATCTAACAGTTCATTTTAGAAGCCGCTTTCTTCTGCTCCGTACTTGGCATAAGCGTGTGTTTATATTAGTAGGTTCTGACTGAGCTGTATATGAGTACAAGGCAGCCTTCCTGTAGAAAGTTGTCTGATAAAGGCTCTTTCCAGTCTGAACAGTGGTTGGGTTCTACAGTCTCCCCACTTGTACTTAAAAAAAAAATTAGCCCTTAGTTTTTTTCACCTTCTTAATTTTCTTGGGATCTTTATCCTTGCAAGGCATGGTAGATGTGTAGTGATGGGTAAACATGAGTCTCCTCGGTGAAGGAGCATGGCTTAAATAGAGGAAATAAGGACAATGACTGTACCTATGTTTTCAAACGCCTACTGCTTTTCTCCACCTGGTCCCATAGGCCACCCAAAATATATGTGTTCAAAACAAACACACTCGTCTTTACTGTGTGTCTTCCTGAACCCTCCTGAAACCTCTCCTCCCTCTCTGCATTCATATCCACCCAATGGACATGATGAGAATCATTCTTGACCCCTTGAGGCAAGTTATTTTCTACTTTTCTTTCTACGTAGTTCTTCAGCCATATATCTTCCAAATTTTAGGCTGCCCAGGACAGAGATATCTCCCAGCCTCCCTTTCATTAGATAGGCTTAAATAATGACCAATGTCATGGAAGGGGAAACACTTTCAGGAAGTAAGTTCCTAAAAGACACCAGCATGCCCTGCTCTTGTCCTTTTCCTGCTGTCTGTTGGCTGTAATGCAAGTAGGATGCTGGTGCTGCATCGCCCACCTTGGACCATGTCATGAAACCGTGTGTTGAGTATGTTGAGTACCAGGATGGACGGGGCCATCTGTGGCAAGTCCCTGACACGGGAGCCCCATACTAGCTCTGGGCTGCTGCCTGGGCTCTCCATTTTCAGTCTAATTTTTTGGTCACTGTCCGCCAAACCTAAACCTAATTCACTGATTCCTTTCCCTCAGCCTCTATATGTAGCTAATTACTTAGCCCCCTTGAGTCTAATTTAGAATGTCTCTTAAAGTCACCTATCCCTGTTCTGCTCGTTCTCTAGTTCAAGGTTTAATCATCTCTCACCCATGCTGCACGGGACTGCCATGGTATACGGTGCTTCTCATATGTGCTTACCACATTAGGCTCCATTTTATGGTTATTTCTTCATTGATTTATTCATGTGGAATCAATTAATTCTCTCTATCATTCTCTCTCTCTCTCTCTCTCTCTCTCTCTCTCTCTCTCTCTCTCTCTCTCTCTCCTGGGCTTTGAAGCTATAAAGATACAGCATCCATATTGGTCTCCTTATCCCTCAATCCTTTCCATCTATCCTTTGCACTACAGCCAGAATTAGGTGCCTCAAACAATTCCTCTGCTTAAAACAATTCCTTATGGCCTATGGGACAAAAGCCAAACTCCTGATGCGCATGGCACCTGAAGCGCTTCTGACTCTGACCCCAACCCATCTTTACAGGCTTGTCTCTGGCACTCCCCCTCACCCTCTTTCCCATCTCACCCTCTGTTCAAGAGACACCAGAGCTCCATGCATTTCACTGGTCCATCTACCATATGCCTTTTCACTCTGTGGCTTTGAGTAGAATGTTCCTTCTGCCTGGAAAGACTATCCACCCTCCCCCTTCAGGACCTAGCCCAGGTACCACTGCCCTCTGGCCTGCATTCCTGCAGTAATAAGTTCCTTGTTCTCTCCATTCCCTGCCCACCAAAAAAACCACAAAACTTTATTGATGTCAATTTACAGCTACTCCAGCACTTAACCTATAGTGTTGTCTGTGGCCCCCTATGAGACTGTAAAATCCTTAAAAGCAGTTGTCTGATTCTTCTCTGCATATTCAGCACCTGAGCTAATGAAAGCATCCAGTAAGTGATACGCAATAATTAAGACAAGGGGTGATTCCCAGAGAAAGTCCTACATTCCATCAAAGCTCAAAGAAACCTGCCCTAGGCTGCAAGTCACAGAAGACTTCCCTGAGGAAGTGGCACTCCAAATGAGCCTGGAAGGGAACAGAAGTTAGCCAGGCCAGAACTGGGGGATGGGAGAAGTCACTAAATATGCAAAGAAGTGGGGACCAGGGCCTGTCTGGTGCTCTGAAACAAGGCTGGTCTGGCAGAGGCCAAAGGACAACTTGGAGAAGTGAGAGTCTGCACATGGCTAAAAAACAAGTTTAGGAGGCAGGTTCTGCATCCAACCAAGGCTCATCGGAAGGGAATTCCCCAATATAGAAAGGGTGTCCAGGTGCTGGACAGTCAAAAACTAATTAGTGTCCACTACAGGTGGTGGCACGATCATCTCAAATAAATAAAAATAAATAATCTCAAATGCGGTATGGAGAAGAGTTTGGAAGGAAGTAAGAGAGGGTTCTAGAAGACCAGTTAGAAGGCTATTGCAGTAATTGAGGCAAAAGATCATGTGGTGGCTTCATGTGGTGGCAAGGAGGCCAGGTTTCAGGCTGAACAAGGAGAGTTTGAGTTCAGGCTCAAACAAATGAGTTTGATTGGAGAGAGTGGGTCGACAAATCCAAGCACTGGTTTGGAGCTCAGAGAAAAGGTCTGGCTGATACATGAGCTCTGGGATCAGTGTACAGATGATGATCAAAGCCGTGAGCATAGATGAGATTGCCTAGAAAGAGGGAGTGTAGAGTGAGAAGGCCTATGTCACAGCCTTAAAAAACTCTAGCATTTAGTTGAGATGTTGGAGAAGGCAGAGGAGTGTGATAGCAGGAAAACCAAGGAAGTGTGGGGGCGTGGGAGCTGAGCAAAGAGAGTTTCAAAAGGGAAGAATGGGCAACAAAGATGTTATTTGGAAAATTAAAAAATTAGCCAGTGTTGACACAATAAGGTATAACCCTTGCTTCTTACAGAGGGATGCGCTGCAACCATTTCAGGGACACTGCCAGCGTTTCCTGATGCCTGGAAGTCACAGTGGTGGCCAACCCCCACCAGCCACTTCTCCAAGACTGGGAGGTCAGAGCATGTGTTGCCCAGACTTTGCTGATGGTTGTGTTTGTAATGACGTTATTCTGGTCCCTCCCTCTAAATTTCCCCCACCTGTCTTCTGCGCTTGCAGAAAGTCACTCATTCCACATCTAGGAACAAAGTGAAATAGCACGATAGTCCTAGAAGTGGTAGCTTATGATCTGAAATCCATTCAGCATAAGCATTTTAGTTCTTTACACCTGTGACTCCAACTTACCTTTCTCTATCACTCAAACTCTCTGCATACTCCCTCTACTGTTGCCAAACTCAACTCTCCACCCAACTTGTCCTAAGCCTCCCTACCTCTATGCCTTTACCCACACTCTTCCTTCTACCTGGACTGTCTTCCCTCACAGAAGGTGCTTTAAGATGAATGAAAACAAAAACGCAGCTTATGGGGTGCAGCTGAAGCAGTGCTTTGAGGGAATTCTGTAACTGTAAATG